AAGGCCTGGTGCAGACAGCCAGAGAAATCTGGGAGAAATTACCTGGTAAGAAGGGCATTTAGACAGGTGGCCTCAAATGTATCTGAACAAAAGATTCTTTGTTCTGAAGCACACTGCTAAAACTGGAATAATGTAAACTGCAGTTAATTCTTTTCTAAGTATTCTTTGTGTTCATTTTCTCCTGGAGGGAGGGAGAGATGTAAGAAGAAAGTCCATAGCCCCCTGGCCAGATGTCAAGAAGCAAACGTGTCATGGAAGAGGGTGAGCGCTCATCTTAATTCTGGAGTGCAATGCTCCCCCACTCTCCTTTTCTGACAGAGCACTCACCTCCAGATGGCTTTTTAAACCAACAGCACCAATTTAGAGCTCTCAGGACGAGGGTCAGGCATCTTGTTGAATCAAGTCATTTCTCATGCATCATGGTTCTCCTGCAGCAGATTAGGCAGGAGCCAAAGCTAGTGTTGAATTATCCAGTGTGGGAACTGTTGTACCTTAAAGTGACTCGAGGCTCAGCGAGGCAAGACAGCAGTGACTCTAAGAGCAGCTTTGACAAGTGCTTGGAGGTTCTAGGAGAGGCAAGAGGCCAATAAAGCTCCTTGAGTGTTGGTTCATCTGTCATTTCCTGCTGTTCATCCATTCAAGTCCACACAGCACTCCTTTGGCAAGGTGCTGACAATACCCCCAGCTTCTGAAGGCTGGTGGGATCCGGATGCGGAGGAAGGTAGCAGGAAAAGCTTTGAGATTTGTGGTGTCTCACAGTTCCCTAACCTTGCAAGGGTGAACAGTGGGGATTTGCAGAGATTCGGTTAGATGATGGATCATGAAAAGATTTAAGAGTGTGCCCAGGGGATTCAACTTTCAAACAGTGGTGTGTTGCTCTTCACGGCCTGCTGGCTTGGAGCAATCCTGGAGCGGCATCTGTTAGTGAGCTGAAAGTTACTAGGGGCCTTAGCTTGTACCACTTGAGTCAAATTTGTCCCTAGACCAACAGAAAAAAAATATGGAAGAGGGAATTCCTTTATTAAAGGCATGATGGAAATGAGTGGCCTCTAATTTGGGACAAGGTAGGCTGTAAGACTCTAACTATTAACCATGTCCTGGGATCTGGGAAGCTTTGTAGCCAGGGTGCAGCTGGGTTGCAAACTGATTCCCATGCAGAGAATAGATGGGGCTGAGAGCAGTGTTCCTTCAAGCCCCCCAAAACCACACGGGACAGGTGCTTCTGGAACTGCTCAGGCAACCTTTCCTGTAGCAGACCCTTGGAGGCCTTTGATAGGCAGGAAGTGAACATTTCAGAGTGACCATGAACAGGCTGAGATTACAGACTGGGACATAAGCCTGCAAATATGGACCAGCTGATGCTGAGCTAAAATGACAAGCTAGGACCAGCTGCTGTGGTTACTCCATTCTTAATTATCCATCTGTATGTACAAAGGAAATAGGCTGAAAGTGAGCAGAGAAAGGGGTGATGAGTACATATCCTGACTAGAGAAACAGCTTTGGGGCATTCATCTCGATTTAGTTTTACATGGGGAAGAATTGTGTAGAAATTATCTATAAGACAAAACCCGCTTTTTCCCATTTTACCTCATTTGTGGAACAGAAATTTCTGCAGCAGTATACTTGGAGTGCATTAAATAAATATAAATTTTATTAAAAACACTCACATAGCATTATCAGGAATGATATAATAATAAACAGCTTTCAAATAGCCTGCATAACATTACAATACTTACAGTATTTATAACCGTCCTCAGGTTTTATAAACAAACCCAACATCTCATGAATGAAACTAAGTTAAAAAAATAAACCATAGAAAAATGCGCACCGAAGTTCATTATCTTAGTGTCAAACTACAAAAGATTTTCCTAACAAGTTAAGCACTACCTTGTAAAGTGAACTATACATCACTGTGCGTCAATCAAGATGAAAATTTCATTCAAGTAATGTTGACACCATGCAGAAGCACTTTCAAGTATGGCTCTGTAGTCAACCTATTCCTAGAGAAGCAAATTGCTGATCTGCTTTCCATTTGATCTGAGAGAGGTTGGGTGTCATTTAATTGCCTCTCTTCCTCTACAACCCATCTTCTCAAAACCACACTTTCCTGCTCCTGTTGGCCAGCAGTTTGACAAATGACAGTGGGTGACATGTAAAGCAAACATTCCTTATGGATGGCCGGCTCAATTGCCAAACGCACCTGCAGGAAACTGATGTCGTAGATTCAACATCATGGTGTGGAAACCATTAAACTCCTGGTTTTGTGTGCAAAGCAGACATTCTGAAAGTCCTAATGACAAAATGTGACCAATAAATTACAAAGGTCTCCACTCATCACAAAGCTATTTATTTGAAAAGCTAGTAAGCAACACTGTATTTAGGCCACAATGTAACAGAGTCCTATTGCACAGCACACCACCAGATCCCAGGACTGTTTGGAGACACTCATGGATATGAACCTGAAATCATTCCTAGATCAAAACCCTTTTCGGATTTGGCCAACAGTCCTGTGGTGACCTTTTACTTCACAAGTTTCCCTTTATCAGGTCAGTGCACTCTATTTTAAACTTTTTACTCTGTTAAAAAAATCATCAAAACTTTCCAAACTTTAAAAATGCTTTTCTTTATAATTAAAAGTTGACAGGTTTACAAAATTAGTTTCAGTTATCAGTACATGTACAAGCAAAATGGGAGGGATTCAAGATAAAGACTTAAACCCCTGAAAAAAGAATATATTAACTGACAACTTTACATAAACACAGATGACATGTTGGCATAAGGAGAACGAGCTGAATATCCCTGAATTTTTAGAACAAAAGTTTGAAATTCAAGTTATACTTGCTAAGAAATCAAGTATTGAAAACGGTATGCTTTAATAATAAAAAAAGACTTTTAAAAAAATGGTGGTATACAATGCTATAAGCTTTCACTTAGTTCAATATCCCATTGCCAAACTAGTGTTGAGGTATATGACAAGTAGGAACATCACTCAAACTTTTAATCAATTCTTAGCTCATATTAGCATCTATTTGTAGCAGTCTGAGTAGCACCATCGTGATGTGAATTTTTCTTCAATCTCATATATATATAATATATATATACACATATGTATATATTTAATTTTTACAGTACTAAAATACTAAAGCATTGCATTAAAAAAGTTTTGTTTTACAATTTAATTTACTATACAACTCTGTCATCTTTTTATACAAATTTATGATTTAAAATCACCACAGCAAACCAGCTGCCTATCTTGTTTGGGGTTTTTGTTCTGTTTTGTAACTGACAGATTGCTTAACCCTGACTGCTCATCTTATGCAGGCGTCAGTCCACTCCAGCTTCCTGGTTAGGAGACTTAAGCAAAGCAATGACATTGAAATGCATGAGTAACCCAAAGGCAGCCTGCTGTCCTGACCATACAGATGCACGAGACAGTGTGGGCCTAGGTGGACAAGCTAGCTTTGCTGGGTCTGTGGCATTCCACTAGTTATGGTCTGCAGTTAACAGAGAATCTTCAGCTGTACCCACAGAAGCAAATGAGCTTGTCATACTGTTATTTATAGTCATCATGTAAGATGAGCACCAGAAAGCATGTATATTGTGGACTAACACATCCATTCAGTTTCTGTTTGGATTTCACAGGCCGTGTCACAATCAATACTGCTCATCAGCAGATACATGGCTAAAAGCAATTGTTTTAAAAGCTTTCCTTTAAAAAAAAATAAACTTTTAATCCTAAATGAAAGTAAACTTTTTAAAAAACATCTCAGTACCTTAGCATTGTTCAAGTTGCCAAAGCTTAGGTAGGCAAAGTGCTTCTAAAACACCTCTTAAAATATTTCAATATACATGTATTTGCACATATAAAAATGTGTATATGTACACATTATGTTTATAGTCCTACAAGGACATCACTGGATGAGCACAGTCCAGAGGCCTTTAAAATGTCCACGTTTTAAAAACTCAACTGTATAAGAATAAGTAATTAAGACAGAAATGTAAGTGAAAGGTACCCCAGGTCTTGAAGGGCACTCACTGCACTGGTCGCATGATAAAAAGGCATTAACTTTTCGGCTATTAAAGACACCGTTTTTGTAGCACCATTTCATGTCATACCCAAACAAATTCAGTGTTTTGCCATTATTCACCAAAGCTTCCTGTAATTACTCTTGATAAATAAGTTAATATTAAGGTTACAGTAAAAACTGCATGTTAAAAAGCCATAATTCCAGTATTCAGTACATCAGAGATCAGCACCAGATGATTCCTGCAACTGTACGACTACAGTACTGTGTCCCATGACTATGTAAAGTTGGTATTAGAAGTGGTCACCTGTGTGGAGTGTCGAGAGAGCATCTCACACACACATGACCTCAGCCAATAAGAGAACCAGTGGTTTTGAAAATAGAAACCGTGGAGCACTTGCTTTCCACCTTCCCTTTGCATAGGATGCTTTGGTCTTTTTCCTGAATGCCACCAGTGACCACTTGGGAAGTCAGCAGAGATTAAGTGCAATGGTAAAATTAATCCCTATTTTGCTGGTGAGTTGACACCCTCCCCCAACACACATGTACACACACATGTACACACACACACACACACACACACACACACACACACACACACCATTTGTCGTGGATGCTGTGACCTTTCCCAACTGCCCATGCCATAAGACTATACTACTGACAGGTTGTTCTTGGTGGCCTGGCATAAAGGACAGCATCATACATATCTGTTGTAAGGCCCCGTGACCTGAGTGAAGGCATATGGAGATGTAGTCACCGTGGAGTCTGTGGTCACGGACCCTGTGTTCTCAGCAAGAGACTGGATGAAGCGCAGGTAACTGGGCTCAGCAAGTTCCTGCAGCTCTGTGGGCTCACGTTTTACCCTTTTGCCATGGCTTTTCTGAGACACGTAGTCTGGTCCATACTTTTCACACTCCTCCTCTTTCTCTCGGGCTTTTTCAGCCATTTTAGCTTCCCAGAGAGCCAAGCCATGCTTTGGCTCATTCAGGTTCTTATGCTGGTAAAATACAAGTGAGATCCTGGCAGGATGACCCCGGTCAGGATTATTTATTCGGGTTGTGGCATGAACCTCTCGCTTTGCACACTCAATGAGAATGGATCCGTGAGTTGGAGCCACAGCCACCCCTCCAATGTTAGGATCCAGAAAGCTCTGCTCACTGTCTGACCAAACCTCCTCATTGTCCTCCATAGAAGAAGCTGCACCCTGGCCTGCTGCCCCAGGCTGCTTCTCCTGACTGTCCTCAGTCAGACTGTGTAACAGACCTTGAGCAGGAGCAGTGCTATTATGATTAATCCCTGGAAGCACCCTTGATAGCCCATTAGCTGTGTGGGAGAGTATGTTGTTCTCCTTGTTGTGGAAGGCGTGACTGGAGCTGGTTGTCATGCCTGAAGCTGCAGGGTAGCTGTGGATAGTGTGAGTAGGTGGCTGATGCTCCCTGTTTCTGTAGTCTATGTTTGGATTGCTCATGCTGTATGGTAATCTGGAGGTAACTCCCATGAAATGGCCATCCACCCCAGGGGTGGGATAAGGAGGAAATGTTGCCAGGTGATGTACATTCGGTTTTATGGTACAGTCACTGAAGGCATCTCGCTGCATGTTTTGGTTTCCATAACTTAAGTACTTAGAGGGACTGTCTCCAAACCTCTGTTGGTAAAGTGTGTGGATGGGTGGTAGGTTCAGCTTGGTGAGGGGGTTCTGGCTTGGATATCTATACAGATCCCTGGGCTGAGACTGGGGGGAGTAAGTACTTAAGAAAGGAGAGCAGCTGTCCACGGACACATTCCCATTGCACCGGTATGCTGCATATTGGTTATTCTGGTTGAAAAACCCAGGGTAGGGGCTCATGGGGTCAGAAGAACTCAAATATGAACCTGCAGCTTGAGATGAGGTGGTATAAAGGTTTGCATGATTGGTATTTCCATACATATCTGAAGTGTGTGAAGAACTTGGATAAGGATTAAGTGGATTGGGACGTCTCATGTATGGGTTGGTGGAGTAAGAGCCAATGGACTCAGATTGAGAGTTACTGGACAAGATAGGCTGTGGCTGTGGCTGAGGTGGCTGTGCCTGTGGCTGGTGTGGCTGCTGTACTTGGGGAAGGTGCCTCTGGAGTGGCTGGGGCTGCTGTATGACAGATCCTGAAGGCCGCAATTGTTCTAAGGAGAGAGCAGGGACAAATACATTGATTGTTATTTTAAGAACTCTAGTGGATATACTTAAATATATACAAAAGCATAGTTAATCCTCCCACCCCCCCAGCAAGGATGAAGGGAAGCCAGGGCTCTGAACATAGGCAAGCATATTCTTTTGTGTCTGAAGCATTAGAATAAACACACTGAACTTTTAATGATACATTTTGTAAGTAAGGAGAATGGGAATCCACCAGTCACTTCAAAGGCCTCTGCCTGCTCTACCTGTCTCCATACCCTTCCTCAACTTAGCCCATGTCCTCATCTTTGATGCAAACAGAGTCTGATGAAGCAGTGACTGTACCGTAATAGTGCCTCCCCTTACCTCTATTGTTGCTAGAGAACATGTTTTGTTTCATTTCTCAATTGGCTGGCATGTGACAGGACTTGTTATATAATTAAAATGACAAGAAGAATGGCATCTATCTATTCCTAAAAAGGATCTTATACAATTGGTCAGTCCTACTTCCTGAGAACATTTCCTAGGAAGGAAGTTTACCCAGTTGTAGAGAGCACCTTGTAGAAAGATTTGGCTTGTAAACTGTAAACTGTTCAATGGACCTGCAGTGGTGATTCTGAGACATGAACAGTTGTCTATTACAGAAACTAGTAAGAAGGGGATTTTCATCCCTCCAAGCAAAGAGAACTGGTTATAAGCAAATCAGTGGTAAGCTAAATTTAAAGAACACTCTTGTCAAGTGTTCTTTACAAGCCAAGCCAATATAATTCCTAAAAACTGGATTTTTTTTAGTAGCTGTAATTGTAGACATAAGGCAAGGGGCTCCGGGCCCATTCTCTATTAGTGCTACCATAGACAGAAGCTCGTCTGATGAGTGTGAGACCCTATCTAACCAGATCAAACCTGTCTATGAAAAAAATATACTCAGCTCACCCTCTATCCTGTAAATTGCATTTTTCAAGCTCATTTCAATATAGTACTATGTAAGTATCTAGGCTTAATGACTTGGAGTCATCCTCAGTTTTCTCTCGTCAGTAGAGAGTTTTGCACTCTGAGAGGCTTTACTTGCATAGTTTCTTACACAATTTGACTCAAAGTCTTGTGATCCCCTCCTGCTCCATCCACTGTGTCTGTGTTCAAACGCTCCCTTCTTAAACTTGGTCAACAGTCACTGCATGATTTGCATCACTTTCAACACATAAGCGACCAGTTTAAAAGTTTGGTTATGTGTTACATATAGAGCAACCCCAATGTCTCTAGACTGAGATGGATGGAATACCAACTCTCTGACAGCTCCGGTACAGCCTCAACCAGGCCACTTGGGGGAGGATTGTGGTATAGACTCTACACCCAGCACACAAAGCCACAAGTAAGTGTCCCACCGAGTTTACCTGGCAGCTGTTTCATTTGGCTTGCAGTTTCCATCTGCTTTGTTCGTGAGGAAGACTTGTCCTTTTCATTCTTATTCGAGCAGTTCTCCAGGGAAGAAAGCTTTTCAGCGGCAGCTCTCTTGGCCTCCAGTTTTCTTTGTCGACAACTCTTGACCGGCTCTGCTAACATCCTCACTTTCCTCCGAAAAGAGTTCAGGACCTGAATGGACCCATTTCGTATCTTCTCCTCCTGACCTTCAGCACTCCCAAACTCATCCACAGGAGAGATTTTGTACATTGGTAATACGTGCAGCTGCTCATCCTTAGGTTCTCCTCCAATTTCTCGATTGTCTTCTCTAGTGAGGGTGCACACCTGATGGGGAGGGAAAGATTCCAGGCTCACTTGCAGGTCAGAAGAAAGTGTGGACATGCCCGTATCCACATGTGTGCTGGGTCAGCAACATGCACACTGTCAGAACCAGATCTGCCTGTTATTAATGTAGATAATGTACAAATGGAGGGCAGAGAGAAAAGACAAGCTCCCCTTTAGACCTTTCCAAGTCTATCAGCAATTGCTGTGAAGTGACTTGTCATGCACTTTTAGATAGAACTCAGGGAAGAAGACATATTTCTTCCAGATGAAATGATGCAATCCCCTATTTTCCACATATTAAACACACACAACAGATCATTTCTTTCAAGAAGGTACAGCCCGCTTCTAAGCATGCCACTGCCATATGCAATGGGGTGGGAAAGGTGATAGCATAGACATAGTTGGGCTTCCCTCAGACCTGACTCCTAACTAGTTAAAGTATACTATGTTTAAGAAACTTTACAGCTTGGCTGTTGTCGTGATATTTTAGAAAGCCTGCCTAATGTTCAGAGTGCAGAGGTAGCTACACTAGTCAGCCATACAGGCCAGGCAGTAATGATACACACCTTTAATCCCAGCAGCCACACTAGTTAGCACTAGTTAGAGGCTGGGTGTTGGTGGTACACACATTTAATCCCAGAACTAGAGAGGAATATAAAGCAGGAGGAGACAAGAACTCTCTAGTGACTGGCTGCTTTGCTTTTCTGATCATCTTGAACCCCAAAAATCTGTCTTTGGGTTTTTATTATTTGTCCTACAGGCAATGATGGCATATGACTTTAATCTCAGAATGATGGAGGCAAGTGATCTCTGTGAGTTTGAGGCCAGTCTAATCTATAGAGCAAGTTTTAATACTGGCAAGTCTACACAGAGAAAACCTATCTTGAACTATATCTCCCATGCCCACCCCCCTTCCCCCCAAAATTACAAGATGCCAATTGAAATAAAAATGATCTGGTCACAGATATAACTCATACATAGCTTCACAATCCTCTTTTGCTTTAATTTAAATTTTCTTTTCTTGATAAATGAAGAAAATAAGACCTAAAGGACAAGTAGACATAAAAATGTGTGGTTGATACCCCTAAAAGGAATGTGATCTTTCTAAATGACTAAAAGGAATGTTTCCCAAACGCATGTCTCTGCATACATTTCTCTTGCATATTTGGCACTACTTATGTCTCATCTATAGTGCTTTTCCACCTAGCCCTGTCAGGCTCTCTCAGTTCTCACTCCAATCACCTCGTGGAATGAAGAACTAACTACATGGCTGAGCTACTGAGTTTCTTCTGCCTTCTAGAATATAACACAGCCACCAATAGCTGGGGATGACCAGGGTGATGAGTAGCTTGTTTTCCAGGACCTAACCTGTTTATGACCAAGGATGTGTTAATCCATTGTGTCCACTGTAATACATAGGCATAATGAGCTCCTTGTGCGTGTAGCATGAGCATGACACTGGGTGTCAATTACTTCCCATCTTAGTTTTGTGGGACAGAGTCTTTCACTAAGCCTGAAGTACAGTGACTTGCCTGCATGGCTGGATAGCAAGCCTTAGAGATCCTGTTGTTTCTGCTTCCCCTATGCTGGGATTGAAGACGCCTGCTATAGCACTATCTTTTACATAGGTACAGGGGAGCTGATTCAGTTCTTCAGGCTTGAGAGCAAGTACTTTCCTGGCTGAACCACTTCCTCAGTTGCCAAATGACTGAATTGGGTCATTAAAAACTGTGGTGGTGATAACATGCTTTTCATTTTTATTTCTTTGAAAGGAGAATCAATACCTTGTCTTGTGACTGGTAATGTACACATGTGTGTGTTTTCTCTTCCCAGTTGTTGGTTATAATTCACTACATACCTAAAGTTGAAATTTGAATTTTAAAAAGATTTCTATCTGTACGTATGTATGTGTGTGTTGTTTATGTGTACATGAGCTAGCATGACTTCGAAACCAGAAGAATGTACCAAATCCCTTAGACCTGGAATTACAGGTGGTTCTGAGCCATTCGTGAAGCAAACACTTTAAACCACTAGGCTATCTCTCCGCCCTCATTTTTTTTTTTTCTTATAAGCCATTGGAAATAACCATGTCCAGACCTGATTTAGATTAGTGCTAGGATGTCCAAACTCTCATGTGCTTGACCAACATGTCTACTAACACACCACTCCATTATGAGCATGCTGGTAGTGACCAGGAGGGTTGGTTACTTTGTAACACAACTCACATCTATCCTGAGCCAGTGCCACCCAGCCCATGCTCTCCACCTGCAGATGCTGCTGGCTTCATGGGTTCCACTTACCAATGTGCTGCCATTTGCCATGTTGTGCAGGTCTCTGTGGGCGTGAGCACAAAAGTCCATACATGCAGTGACCCCTGAGAACGGCCGGCCTTCCTTCAGACCCAAACGGCACTCTGGAGCTCTGTGTTCATATTCAATCTGAGAAAAATATATGTGAGTGGGAAGGCACTTCAGAGAAGTTTGAGAGTATTTTGCACTAGAAAGGAATATCTAGGTATTATAATATATATCTGGAAAATAATGGAATGACAAAAAGCAGAGTCCACACGTAAACACAGAAAAGTTTCATTTGACAATATTACTGAAGAAAAATCCATGTGTGTGAGTGTGTGTGTAATGCCAGGGATCAAACTCAAGGCTTTACAGGTTGAAGTAGGCATTCTACCGCGGACTTACCCTGCCAGTTCCCAGATTTCTCCTTTCCCTTTACTTTCCACAAACCCTCCCTGCTCTTTGAAATCCATGGCCTCTTTTCCACTAATTCTTAGTGAAATATATACATACACGTGCACAATAATTGTTATTGTAGCATATATTCCTAAATATAACCCGCCCATGAGCATGTGCGAAGTGGCATTTACAGAAGGTAGTCTAACTTTGATCTATGTACACCCATGTAACAACTGCTATAACCAAAGTCAGGCCCGTACTCTACATTCCCTGAAGTTTCTGCCAGTCTCTGGAGTTTTCCCCCCTGCTTTGGTTAGGCCCACCATACAGATAAATGAGGCTTCTACATAGTCAAGAAAACAACCCATTTGAAAAGAAAATGTATGAGATGGAAGAAAATCTGTGTAGATGATACTTTTAATTATAGATACTATCCAAAATACCTAAGTTTTTTTAAATAAATAAAAGAGCCAGGTGTTGGTGGGGCACGCCTTTAATCCCAGCACTCGGGAGGCAGAGACACTCGGATCTCTGTGAGTTCGAGACCAGCCTGGTCTACAAGAGCTAGTTCCAGGACAGCCTCCAAAAGCCACAGAGAAACCCTATCTCGAAAAACCAAAAAGAAAAAATAAATAAATAAAAATCCAGTCACTTCATTCTTCCTCCCCTCCAGCACAGACTCAAGACTGGGTACATGAATGTTCCCTACAGGCTGATGTCAGGAACAGCTTTTCCTCTGTGTACATGTCTTCCTAGTATTTATTAGGTGACAGTTGCTTTTTGTGTTTTATTTCTAAACACATAGAAGTCAGACTGGTCTCTTGATGCCTCTGTATGGATATAAACAGGTCTTCATTTGAGTTCACATTGTGATTTTCTTGTGGGAATCAATCTGGAACAATGTCTGACCTCATCACCTAGCCAACTAGGGAGCCTAGTACTTGCTACAAATATACAATGTTTTTGTATTCGGCTTTTTCCCCCCTTGAAGACAGAGTTTCTGTGTAGCTTTGGAGCCTGTTCTAGAACTTGCTCTATAGACTGGGCTGGCCTTGAACTCAAAGAGTTCTGTCTGCCTATGCCTCTGCCTCTGCCTCCAGAGTGCAGGTATTAAAGACATATATTGTTACTACCTGGCTATATTTGGCTTTCTTCATGGAGACAAAGTCTAACAAAAATCTGACATCTGGACCCATATATAATAAATGTAATATACAGTTTATATGAATATTGATAATCCTGTGAAAGCATACTGCAGTCAGGGTCACATGATTTAAATACATTCAACAAAATCTTCACATGAAGATAAATTAGTAGATAACACATCAGTTAAGACTAAAAAACTTTGTTTTAAAGGCTGAAAGGACCAAGAATATGCCTTTTTGATGGCAAAATTCATATACTAGAAACAACTCTTCAAATAGTTTTAACAATTAAGAGAAAAGCTGAGGCTTCAGAGACAGCTCAGCAGAGAAGAGCACTCACTGTTCTTGCAGAGACCCTGCACCCACATAATTGTTTATAGCTGTCTATAACTCCAGTTCCAGGGCATAATATATATATATATATATATATATATATATATATATGTATGTATACATTGTATACATGAAGAAAAGGAAAAATGAAACTTTCAAAAGAAGGTTAAAAAGAAATCACTCCTTCAAAAATACTTCTGGACTCAATAGGTTACAAATATTGAACAAATAGTTTGAATCACAAATAACCACTTAAACTTACCTGATTATTGTATGCATCAGGTGCACATTTCTTGTATATTGGAGCAATTAAAGTAGACAGGTTTTGCAAATGAGATTCTAGTTTCTCTTCCTGTATAAAATGATTTAACACATTTTAAATTAGACATGAATATAAACCTGTGTGCTTAGACACAAGGCAGTCAGTTGTATTATTCCCAAGTGTATCATGTTTTATATCCTAAAATATGACTACTAACATGAATGACGGGATATCAGGGCTTGGGCTTGGGTAAGATGGACTGAATCTCTGCCCTGTGCTTGTGGTGAAGTGGTAAGCCAGACAGTTCACAGGAACACATTTCTTTTCATTATTCAATTGTTCTTTAAAGAAGGTGAACACCTAAATTTGTCTAAAGACTGGACAGTTTACTTGAAAGGGAAACTTGTTATGTTCTCAATACCCTATGCTCACAAAGAAAAGGTTTTCAGATAGGTTTCTGAAGTGGGGTAAATTCCCACTGACACACTCAGGAGACAGGGTTTCCCAGGGTTTCCCAGTATAGCCCTGGCTGTCCTGGCACTCACTCTGTAGACCAGACTGGTCTCAAACTCACAGAGATGCACCTGCCTCTGGTTTGCTGGGATTAAAGGCGTGCGCCACTACCCCTGACCAACACATTCTCTTTTTAAAATTACTACCGTTAAACACAATTTGGGAAGCTGGAGAGATGGCTCAGAAGTTCAGACACTTGCTGCTCTTCTAGGACCCAAGTTTGGCCCCTTTGACCTATATATCAGGGCAGCTCACAACCACCTGGAAGTCAGTTCCAGCTGATCACATGGCTCATTCTAGCCTCCAGCAGCACCTTCATATGTGGTGCACGTACATGCACTCAGGAACACACATACACATGGTAATTATGCTGCCCACTACAAGCGTGTGTGAGTGTACACACAAATGCATGGCATACATATCAGGCATGCAGACATCTCCTGGAAATGTAGGTAAATAGAAGGCTCCACCACTTTGCTGCCTGAGAAAATATCCATTGAGAATACTTGGATCATTTATCTTAATATAGCTTCAGATAACATTTCCTTTTTAGAGGAATATATTGAATTTAATAACCCTGTGTGTATTTTAACTACCCTTAAGATTCAACTGTTATAGTACATGGAGTGAAATAATACAAGGGCCAAATTGTAGGGAGACACCGTAACCATGCCTCCTAAGGGCTGGCTACAGGTGTGCCTGACCTCGCCTGTCAGGGCATGGTCATGGTGAGGTCAGGATGACACACAATAGATTTTTTAAGGGACAGCAAGGCAGGCAGGCCACAGAGAAGGGGCTCCCATATAGATTGAGGTTTTTGATCATCTGGCAAACTTACATGCAGATTCAAATATTCTTACATCCTAAAATTATGTTTTTCAAAAATCTGTGTTCTAAGAGATAAAAAGTTTGACTTCAATGAGAAGTCAATGCTCATTTTATTTGAACAGAACATGTATGCTAAAACTGACCTGTTTAGTTGCTCGAATACATCTACTACAGTAACTTAAATCTTGTGACTGACTAGAAATAGTATAAGCATGACTTCTATAATTCAGACTTGAAAGAGAATGACATAAATCTTAATTTCGTTTCCTTTAAATAAGTCTTCCTTGTTATAAAAATAGTATTTACATATTATGTATAAATCCACAATATTTTTGTCCTTGTTCACCAATAGGATTCACAATGTCACAGTAATTCCTAGTATCACAGATCTTCAAGCAGGACAAGTTTTAGTATGTAAATAATTCTTATCTGCTCTAATATATTATGGACATGCTTTTGTCCAATGAAAAATAGTGATGTTAAATGGAACATCATTATACATTATACATATCAATAGTGTAAATTTACACTAAGTAATAAGAATGTCATAAACATCAAGAGTACACACCTTTAATCCCAGCACTCATGAGGCAGAGGCAGACAGATCTCTGAGTTCTAGGCCAGCCTGGTCTACAGAGTGAGGTCCAGGAAAACCAGCCTTTTCTTTACAGAGCCAGCTCTTTAGTCCAGGCTAGCCTAACATAATTCAGTTTTCACATGGGTATTCTGTAAAGGCCCATGTACCGGCTATTTTTGTCAAGTTGATACAACCTAGAGTCATTCTGGAAGAGGCAACTTCAATTAAGAAAATGTCCCTCTGTGAGAAGACCAGTAGTACATATTCTTGATTGATAGGGGAGGGCCCAGTTCAACATGGACAGTGCCCAGTTGGGCTGGTGGTCCAGGGTACTATAAGAAAGTAACCCAATCAAGCCATAGAGAGCAAGCAAACAGAACTCCTTTACGGCCTCTGCAATAGTTCTGTGCCTCCAGATTCCTACTCTGATCTTCCTAGGTGATGAGCTACAAGCTTTAAGGTGAAGTCAATCTTTCCTCCCCAAGGGGATGTTGGTTATGGTGTTTTTAATCCCAGCAGTAGAAACCCTGGCTAAGACGGCCCACAGGAAGGAATGATTTATGATGCTATACATAGTCATGGTAGACTTATAAAATATTGTGTACTTCTGGTTAAGCCAGAATTTATAGGTTCATCTGATATGAAATTCCTTCTGTTAATGAGTATGACAGGTCATCCAAGATCATTAATTGTATATGAAAAATAGGTTATATATTAGGAAACAAACCAACCTCTTTTGGATCATCTCCAAGTAGCTTAAATTTCCTTGGGTTCTAGCTTCTGGCATACTTACATCCATTATAGTACATGCTCCAAGAACAACCAAAAGAAAAGGAGGCACCACAGGTTTCTGGATCCAAGCCCTGACAAGCACAGGTTCTCCTGAGATCAAAGGACAAAATTCAAGATTATAGAAGTGATACTGTCTCCTCAGTAAGGGCACCCATCTCCTAGCACCTTAGTCTCTGATAAACTCCATCTTATCTTCTTCGTTAGTGAGCCATTCTCATGTCTTAAACAGATAAGGATTACTTCTACATTTTTAACTTTTTGACTGAGGGTGTCAAAGATAATTGTTTCCATGTATTGTTTGCTACAACTTTGGCTGCTTCAATTCTCTCACACGTGTTCCAAACTTGTATTATTATTATGTCATGCTCAATTAAAATGCACTTGGTGCCTTACTTATAAATGTATTGTTATATACAATACCCTAACCCTAACCCTGATGAGGGAAAGGAACATTACCAAACTCATTCTACAATTTACCCTGACACCTAAAGTCAATAAAGACACAACAAAATTATTGACCTAATTTCCCTGATGAACACAGATGGGCAAATCATATTTAAGAACACATTAAAATCATTCACCCTGGGAGTTAGTTTCATACCAACACACAACAAAATTATTGACCTAATTTCCCTGATGAACACAGATGGGCAAAGTTTTGCAAATCATATTTAAGAACACATTAAAATTCGTTGGCTCAACACACAAATAAGTACAGACATCACATGATCTTCAACAGACATACCAAAAGCCTTTGACAAAGTTCAACATTCCTTTATGAGAAATGCTAAAGAAGCTAGAGATAGAAGGGACATATGTCAGGCTGGAGAGATGGCTCAGAGGTTAAGAGGACTGGCTGCTCTTCCAGAGGTCCTGAGTTCAATTCCCAGCAACCCCCAGGGTGGCTCACAACCATCCGTTATGAGATCTGGTGCCCTCTTCTGCTGTGCAGATATACATGGAAGCAGAATGTTGTAAACATAATAAATAAATAAAATCTTTTTTTTAAAAAAAGAAGGGACCTATGTCAAACACAATAAAGGGTACACAGTAAAGTCAGAAGCCAATATATACTGTACAGGGACCATTTCCTCTCAAATCAGAAATGAGACAAGATCATATGCATCACTGTTTTTTAATTCAATGCTTAGTCTTTTCAGGAAAGTACAGAATACAAACAAACATATTAAACAAATCAGTGGATTTTTCAAATAACATGAACAGGTTTAGTTTCTAGTACCCACTGGGTAGCTCACAACTGCTTAGAACTCTAGCTCCAGGGGTATCCAACACCTCTGGCCTCTGTGGGTACTCACATGAACACACCCACACAGATAATTACAAAAAATGATGACAAAGAAATTTCCTCAACTTTTCCATACTAGTAATGAACTTGACAAGTTCAAATAAAGTAATAAAGTAAAATACAAATGAATAAAATTAATCAAGATCTCTATATTGAAAAGCTCAAGACAATCAAGAAATTGGAAATATACTCATAAATTGGCATAATCAGTACTGAAAATGATCTAGAGTCAAAGAAATCACTGAGTTTCTAATTACATTCTTCACACTCTTAAGAAAAATGATTCCCAAATCCATATGAAGCACAAAGTCCCAAATAGCTAAAATAATCCTAAACAGAAAAAAGCAACGCTGTAGATATCACAATACCTCATTTCAGACTATACTACAGAGCATAGGAACAAACCAGCTTGGTACTCATATAAAAACAGACAGACTAATGGAATAAGAATAGAGGACCCAGAAACAGAGATACAGTCATCTGATGTTTTCATAAATGTATCAAAATTCAAATTTGAGAAATACTGCCTGATTTAATGGTGCTGGGAAATGAGTATCCACAAAATTCTCTTCAATGTGGATCAAAGTAAGGTGGTGGAGAAGGACAAATGCACCTGACCTGTAGATAGCTTTCTCCTCTTTTAGTCTTGAACCCCAGCCAGGAAAGGTATTGCCCAATTAGAGTGGGTCTATGTATTCCAATTAACCCTATCTATAGAAAACCCCTCAGAATCATGCCCAGAAATGTCTCCAAGGTGATTCTAGATCCTGTTAAGCTTTTGTGGGGAAAAAATTCTTTATCAAATAAATCGACTGATTCTAGATCCTGTTAAGCTTTTGTGGGGAAAAAATTCTTTATCAAATGTAGGGATCAAATGTAGGATACTTAAAGAACTGCAAAAACCACTATAGAATAGAAAAATGATTTCAATTTCTATAGAACTTTTACAAGTCTTAAAATGATTTTATTTATATTAAAAGCCTATTTTTGCTTACTAAATTGGTAGCCACATTGAAAAGAAGTGTCAAATTATGGCATGAGAACTAAAATAGAAATTATGATAAAACTGAAGCCATGTGGGTGCAGACACCAAGACGACAGAATATTCCTAAAAATCCCTACAAATTATTCATTCTAGCAAACCATACAATGTCCAACTATAACATAAAGCAAGTGACCCCCCTCTTTATCAATAGACAAATTCGAATCCTGATTTCTACCCTGGAGGGTAGAAAGGGCCTTAACCCCACTTACTCTTCATTCAGGGCACAGCGACGAATAGTGGGGGCACCATATTTACTCAGCGTCTCTCTAAGATCTGAGTAGAGTTGGTCAGCCAGAGGTCGTGGGATTCCTTCCCATATTATGATGAGAATCACAATCACAGCAACATCACAGCTATGGCCAGCTCGCTCTCGAACCAAACACAGGAACTTCTCAAGGTTCCCTTTTCGAATCACCTGTGTGAATCAACAGCCCACCCAAACAGCCCCGCCCCACCCCAGACAAAACAAAGGTCAATTGGGTCCAATCAGAATCCACTTGCATATGTATACTTTTTCATGTCTGGATTAAAATGATCACCCCCTGCCCCGGTATACGGTAAGAAGCTAACCAAATATCATAAGAATACTTGGTACAAAATGACTCCCCAATGGCTAGCAGACCATGCCTAGTACAGTGGGCAGATAAATGCCACTACTGTAGCAAGAACTGCAGAAAGACATGGAAGGTCTGGCTGGGGTTTCCATTAAATAGCATTATAAATATTAACATGGTGCTTAATGGGTGAAGGACTGTTTCTTCACGATCTAAGGACTATGCTTTAGACCAGTGCTTCTCATCTTCCTAAGGCCCTCCTGACCCTTTAATATGGTTCCTCGTGTTGTGATGACACCCACCCAATCATAAAATTATTTTCCATTGCTACTTCACAACTGAAATTTTGCTACTGTTATGAATCAAAATGTAAATATCTGTGTTTGCTGATGGTCTTAGGTTTAGGTGACCCCTGTGAAAGAGTTGTTTGACCATCCCCACCTCCCCCAGGGCTCTTGACCTACAGGTTGAGAAACACTTCTCCAGACCTCTACTACTGGTTTGGTCATGATTTTAGAACTACTCATCCTTAAGAATACAAGATGACACATAGAATTTATGTTCATCCCAACTGGCAAGAACTGGGCAAGCCAATTCTTGAGATTAGATGAATGAACCAAAATTAGCAAGACTGAAGAGCAAGAGCACTGACAAGTCACACTTACCCATTTGGCAATAGGACATCCCTGAGAACTTTTGCCTTCTTTACCAGTATAGATGACTCTTTCAATCCTAAGAGCTTTACCCTTCTGTCCAAACCTTAAAGAAACACACACACACACACACAATTAGTAGACTACTTCAAGAGAAAATCAAAATATTTGGACATGTAAGTGTAGTTTTGTTCTACAACCACATCCTAAGAAATTGAGGGTTTAATTTATTGGTGTAAGCCAAGTACAATTGTAAGTCTTAAGTCTTTCCTTCAGCATCCAAATATACCAAAAGTTATAATGAATTATTCTGTAATTATATGTTGAGTGAAAAAAAAAACACTGGAAAAGTTATCTTTATCTACAAGGTACAAAATAAGTTAGTTTGCTAAATTCAAGTTTTGAAACCATATACTATTTGATTATCATCCTTTACTAAATTTATCTTACAGCTTGGAGAAGTATAAGTTTTTAGAAATCTTGTGTTTCTAAAGAAATCTGGCAAAAAGTTAGTATCCAGCTATTTTGAAAAAGTCAGAACTCTAAAAATAACTTGTATTCCTTGTACACCAAACAAATGCAGTGGACTGTTAGCAAAAGCAAGTGCTTGGAGAAATTCCCTGCCTCTGCCAGGGTGGGGACTCCAAGGTGGATGTCTCCATCGGAAATTACAAGTGCATAATCCACAGTTAAAGCAAGGATGATAGATACTGTGTGTGCTGCCCACACACATATATCTGCAAATACATTTTTAGAACATGCCTACTGCTTAAGAGAAAGACAGACAACAGCTCCACGCTTTAGCTATAGGAAAAGCCTTGTGAGTCTTCCACATAAGGGAATTAAGTGTAGATACCTTGGACTGACACTTTTGGAAAGTAATTGGAGCCTCTTAGTTAACCTTTCACACTTGCTTTCTCCTGTAAGAGAAAGAATTCATTTGCAGAGCTAAGAATTTAAATTGATGATCCCCACTCCTACTGCTTCCCCTTCTTGTTTCCTTGACACATCACCGAGTAGGCGAAAGCCAGAGTGAGGCCCCTTTGCAGCCTGTGCCAGCACTCTCGTGCCTAGCAGGTTGGCTGGATGATTTTTGTTTGTGCCTGGGTTTTCTAGCATCCATTTCCAAGTGGGCAGCCTGTGCCAGCTAAGCAACTATTTGTCCTGTCAAATATTGTGACTCTGTAGTGAATAGCAGTGTGTTGGGTTGGCAACCCTGGAATAGCTAAGCCTACCGATAATTACTTGATTTACAATTGTTTACTGCTCTGTGTGGGGGAACTGGAAAAACTGCTGTATACAAAGGATAAATGTTAATCTGCCCTGTGCCTTTGAGTTAATTACCTTTCTTCCATGATTGTTCTAATAGCTGCCACATTAGGACCAGCTCCTAGATGGGTATAAAAAGGACCTTCATCTTTTTCATTAACTTGTTCTGTTGAGATAATAGAAGATTATTATTTTAGACCTCAATTATACTAAGTATTAAGGCTACATCCAAAGATTATCCCCCAGCTGCACATTAATGGCCCTAAGTAACTTTCATTCTTTTTTTTTTCCTTTAAATTAGAGTACATTGGTGGCTTGATCCTTTAGAAAAATGTGCCAAGTAATACATTCACAATGGTCATTGGCAAATTATCACTACATTTCAGATATAGCATAAAAATTATTTTAAATCGAGTATATGGAACCAAATAGAAATAAAGGAATTAAAGTATATGAAATAAACTACAATGCAGTTTTCTAAGTAGAAAAAGAAATCCAACAAAAATCATGCTTGTCATTTGAAAATCACAAAGTTTAAAGACCAATCTTATCTATTCCACTATAGATTATTCAACAAGTGAAGTCCATTTATTCTTCCCTATTTTCCCTCAACATTTCCCAAGAACTATTTTCACGGCAACTTAAGAGCTTACTTGGGAGAGAATCCTAGAGAGACCAGTAAAAGGGCCTGCTGTAGGAGTAAAGGTGAGAACTTGGTGCTATCTGTGACATTTGCTACACACACAGGGCAGAAGGACCTTCCCCACCAACCTACCAAGTGGATGCCTCGGTACAGTGAGTACTACATGGAATGGGTGGGACACTTGACAGTAATGTACCCTGTTGGTCTAATGTCTTTATCTACACCTGTAAGGGCTAGACACTATTGGAATCTTCAAGCTGTGCATCTGTTACACAGCACAAACGTAACAAATGACATTTTTAAAAATACCATTTTTATAAAATAAATAAAATAAAACAAACAAAAAGGAACACAAACCAACACAAAGAGTGGTAAGTGGGAAACTACATACTCTAAAATGCTCCTAAGGGAGCTTCTGCAAGTTCTCAGTGCTTTAGTACTAAGGGCTAACTTAGTAAGTTCTCAGAGCCTTGTAACTAAGTTATGTACTCATAACTCTGGTACTGCAATTTTCCAACTCAAGATTAAAGATAGTAACTCCCTGGATTCCCAGAAATGTACTAATCTTTAACTACAAACATGGGTTTATGGCACTATTTTGTTTAAAAAGCTACATGAGTTGGAGGAAGTAGTTATTTTTTCATGTTAACAAATTTTACTGCCTATATGCCTCCTCTAAGAGTTTAAATAACTAGATCCAGGCTGGGCATGGTGAGGCACACTATTAGTTCTTGCACTTGGGAGGCAGAGGCGGGTCAGCCTGATCTATACAGTGAGCTATAAGATGGACAGGGCTGGAAGACCCTGTCATAAAAACCAAACCAAACCAAAGATCGAGGGCTGGAGAGACGGATCAGGCAGTTAGAATTCCCAGTACCCCCATGGTGGTTCAAAACCGTAGTCACATGGAAACCTATACCTTCTTCTGGTGTGCAGCCATACAGACAAAATTTCAATAAATACAAACAAATCCGTAAAATGATATAAAATACATTTATACTTCAAGATCTTATTAGAGGGAAAAATGAATATATTCGTTGGTTTTGGGGGGAGCAGATGAAAGTGAAGTTTTCATTTTGCATGGCACAAGTGTGTCTGTAATTTAAAAACAAAAACATGTTTTTATGAACCTTCACAATTGGCTTCCAGACTCCAGCTTTAAGAAGGAAGAAACTTAATAGTTTTGGTTGTGAGCCTAGTCTTTAAGGGCTGAGCCATCTCAGTTGGTGTCTGGTGACCATGCAACTATTGGAACCATTCCCACCTGAGAGGCCATTCCCTACACCCAGAGCCAGAATGTCATCTGGGTCTCTAAGCTACCACCAACAGCCATGTATGGGTCCATGGCTCTGCCACAGCTGGAGTCTGTGTTGATGTCTGTGGCCAGTGGCACCTCAGAAGGCCTTAGAAATCATCTGAGATGAAATCAGAGGGCAATACTGAGCCAGCCCTGTCCTTTATTGCCCTGGGAAAACTGGACTTGCCTCTCACTGCCCACTACAGCAAGAGAGCTGGCCCTGGCCCCTGCACTTGGGAGAGAACCCCCACCCTTCACACAGGTGAGGAAGAACCTACCCTGAGGGCATGCATTAGGGGAGCTTACTCCACCACCACACCGGAGGCAGGTGGCCCCAGTGGCTTGATGTGACCTGACTGGCTAACACCCAGGCTCACAACTGGGCATTGGGTTGACCCACCCTAATCTACCTCATCTAGGTCCTGCTGGAGCTTGTGAAGGCACTAGTCCTGCTGAACTCTAAAGATGCCCTAAAGACCCCTAAGATTCAGAATACCCCCAGAAGAGTTCCAGTGAAGATCCAGAGGATAGGGAACCAAAAAACTGGCAATGGACAGTTGCCAGTCAAGCTGATGGGAAAAAGGGGCATGCTATATGACGTACTGAAGCCTCCAGTGCCATCAGAACGAATGAAGAGGTGATGGAGAGGTAGGAAAGAAGAAAAGATTTTGCTGTTTTGGGTGTGGCTTTTGTTTAATGGTTTTTTTTTTTCTTTCTTTGCTCTTGCTTTGTTTGTTTGCTTACTTACTTTGTTTTGTTTTCCTTCATGAGGGTGGTACAACAGGGATGAGGGGAAATATGGGGGGACTGGGAAGTGAACAGAATTGGGGTGTGTGATGTGAAACCCCCAAAGATTCAATAGTTAAAAAAGGAAGAAACTCTCAAATATGAAGATAATTAGCTAATTATGGAAAACACCATGTGCTTCAGTATGTTACTTGCACTTACCAACACATTTGCAGGGTGGGATATCATATTGAGTCTTGATGGGAGTATCCAATAAATTTTTTATAGGAAGTTTAAGGAGTTTGGAAGGCGAGTCTAAAAAATTGTTGAGAGCAGAGCCAGCTGTCCTTTTGGTTGGTGTCTTTTCTGAAGCTGGGGCGTGGCTCTCAGGATCTGCAGCGTGAACATTTGTGGATAAAACTGTGATGGCCCCTGATGTCTCCACTCTCACTGGTTCCTTTGAGAGAGTCAGGGACTTGTGGTTAAAGAACGAGTTGAGCTGAAACTGCTCCAGATGCTGCTCTAAGGTCTCAATGATACTTTTCGGCTGCCCATCATCACAGCTCAGTGGGGAAATCTCTTGCTTTATCCTTCTGGAGAGTTTTTCTTGGGGGGCCGGCATGGGGCGTTTACAGGAAGAGGGTTTGGACCCAGGCTCAGTCTTGATTGGCCTGTGCATCTGATTCTGACAAGAGTCAGCCTGGGACTGCTGTGTTTGCTGCTGCTCTTGCTTCTGTAAGAGGAGCCACCTTAGGGCGGCATGCTTCTGAGTGTCCCTCTGAGGAGGGGTCTGCATCTGATTTCCTCCTGCCTTGGGGACAGGGAGTGTCTTTGCTTGATTAGGCACCGAGTACCTCTGCTGAGCTACTTCAGGTAGTCTTGCTGCCTGCTGCCCAGATGAGGCATCCTGGCTCCTGCCTTTAAATCCCTGCAGAGCCAGAGCTTGTTGAGGCTTCTGTTCTTGGATGGGGAAGCACCTGTGATGATGAATGTCCTGATTTGGGCTCACATCACTTGGAAAATATTGCATGTTCTGCAGGCTCGGGGTCTTATTTCCCACAAAGAGTTCAGGATATAGAGTTTGCTCTAGAGTCTCAGGAACTGGGTGTGTATCATTTGAACAGGGAATCTGTGATTTGCTGGGATTTGATTGGAAGATATTCAGGTAAGAGTAATTCTTACTACTCACATTCTGTACTGGCTCTAATGGCCTTTGGCTACTGTGAGTTTGGAAATTACTTGATTTTAAATACTGGTTTTCACCACTATAGCATTCTTCCACTTTAATCCGGCCAGAGCATGGTCCTTCTCTTTGCTTCTCATTGCTACTTTGGAGATGAGAAAAGGTCTGGGGCATTTGTTCTTTGTTCTTCCTCTGTAATTGCTGCTGCTGGCAGTTTTGAGGGAAATTTGAATTCTGGGATACTTGTGTTTGGGCTGCCTGCTTAGCAGGCTTATATTGTAAAAACGTTGAAAATGGTTCGGCCACTGTGGCCTGTTGATTCAAGTGCTTATTAGTGGAGGGATCCACTCTTTGCTGAAAATGAAACAGGGGAACACTTGGTGCTTGCCCATGAGTGTCAGGAGGGGTGTCTGCCTTGGAGATGCACCCCTGGTATGAAGTTTGCTGCAATGGTAGATGTTGGTCCCCCATACCTGGTGTGTGGCCTTGATTCATCTCCATTTGGTATGTTTGTGACTTCTGCTCAGGTGGAACTGTTTTCTGGATGTAAGGTAGCCTTGGGAATCCTCCTGGCATGTTCACATTTCCAGTGTACCATCTGGAGGACATCTGACTGGAAGGGCTGGCCTGATAGCGAAGGACTGAGTGAACCATTGTATCCTTACACTGTGGCTGATGGTGTGCTTCACGAGAACGAGAGGCCTTCAGTTCAATCCATCCAGGTTTCAGGTAGTGCTGGGCCGCCAGCAGTGGATCGTGTGTTGGTTTCCCGTTTTCATCCTTCAGAATCTCTTGTTCCCTGTGTCCCATCAGATGAAGGCTGCGTTCTTGTAAGTCTCCACTGCGACCATGATTCGGGGGGTAATACTTGAGATATTCTGACATTGTTCTTGTTTGTTCAGAGCACACTGAGACACAATTACTCTGATGTCCTTCTGGAAGCATCGACGAGGGGTTAGATGTATGAACAGATGGATTTGAACTCTGGCAAGATGATGCCACTGTTGGTTGCTGTTCCATTTTCCCTTCCCTTAAGAGAGTTGTGTTGCTTAAGCGACGGTGTTCTTCCAAAGCCAGAGAACCTTTTCCTTCTAAAGGAAGCTGAAGAATGGGACGGGGAGAAAGAAGCCGTTGTGACGGTGGAGTCATGGTAGTGGCAGAAATGGAATCTTTAGTGAACACTGAGCTTTGACTGAAGTAAGCACCATTGATTTCCTTTCGCTTTAAATACTGCTCAGAGCTGCCTCGAGAAGCTTGCAAATCACTGTGGGAACTGGAACCGAACTCTTCAGCAAATAGCTTCATGTTTCCTTGGATGTTTCTGTTTTCTGCTGGAGATGGGCATGTCTCCAAAACTGATGTTTGTTGGTGTTCTGGTTTCGGGAAGGGACAGGTACCTAGCACTCCAGCCGCTTTGCTGGCATTATCAGCATCACAGGCCTCAGTCACCATGGCAGCTGGCTCGGGAGGCAGCTGGGAGCCTGAGGTCTGTGGGGAATTGATCTGCTCTGAGGTATGCGATGGTTGAGTGATCTCACAAGACAACTCATTAGTAGCCCGACTGTTGAGGGCATTCACATGAGATGTGGTATTCTGCACTGCAATGGAAACATGTTCTGGACAACACTGAGATGGTGTTCTTTCCAGAACTTCACCATGTGTGTTTTCCACAGAAGGGGCAGAAACTGTAGCACCATTAGACATTAGCACAGCCTTGTTTTTAAGTAATAAAATGTTCCTGCCATTTTCCCCTTCCTGCTCCTTGAGAACCCGAAACTCTGTGTTTTCAACTCCATTGCAGTTACGAGTTGGGAAATCATCAATGGCTGTCCCTGTACTTTCCTGGGCTCCTGAGGGCACAGCTTCTCTGTTCTCTCTCACACTGGAGACATTTGGCTGACGGCTGCTTTCACCTGGGTTTCTTTCTTGGCTGTCCCCGAAGTTACCTTCTCCCTTAGCTTTTTGGTCTAGTTTCAATTTCGTGTTCAGATGGAGCCCAGAGAGAGATGGTTCACTGGCAGTGCGTTTGATTCCTCCGTTTTGCAAGCACCTGGAATACCCTCTGCCTTCATGTACAAAGTCTGGACTCTCACAACTGATCTGGCTGCCTTTCGCAGGGGGTATTCCATAATAACGTTTGAAAGACTGCCACTTGGTGTCTCCATTTACTTCTTCTAGATGAAGTCTCTCTACTAACGGGCTTCCATTCTGGAGTTGAGGTTCTGTCTGGCAGATGGGAGAAGGTGACGGTATCAGGAATGGACTCAGACTGTTGCCCTCAGGATGGGTGGTTCTGTCCTGTTCCATCAGGCTTGCCCTTTGAATGAATCCTAAAGAACACAGACACAAAAATTGAAAAAATTAGAAAAGGTATAGCAATTAGATACTCATTTTCATCTTTTAGCCAACAGCTCCTCTTGTCTTCCTAGCCTGGAGAAAAAGAACAATGGAATCCCAGCTGCTCTGAGAAGTCCATACTTCACCAATAAGTAGTATCAGGAAAAAAAAAATCACACTTTCCCCAGCTCTTACTGCCATTTCTGCTTCTTGTGTGTTCCTTGGATCATCTGAGTTAAAATTCTCTCAGGTCTACTTCTCTCATAATCCCTGTAACAGCTCCTTTAAACTAAATCCTCCCTCAAGTTCTTCAAGGCTGCCTCCAATTTGTTATCACGAGATAAAAAAGAATGTTCTAATAAAATCCAATCCTGGTATCTTTCATCCTTATCATACCTGATTAGTTTTGCCTGGCCTGTATCAGTCTCTTCAAACTCTTTCATGTAACAGGGACATCATATTTCATTTCAGTATTGTCAATATCCTTTGTGGTGACACGGTGAAAGGCGTGGCTCTAAAATACCCATTTGGCTAGGGACTTAAGTGAGTGCCTAGGTGAAATGTGCAGCTTGCAAGAAACTCCCTAGGTTCAATACTCAGTTTAACACACACACACACACACACACACACACACACACACACACACGAAAACACTTCCAAACATGCACTACCTCCAAGCATGCCACTTCTAGGTGATTTTCCAACAAGAGGTAGATACCCACTTTAATAAAGATTTCCTGTCTATGGCAAATGAGATGACTCAACAGGTTAAAAGCACTTGTCACCAAGCTGATGACTGCAGTTTGATTCCCAGTACCCAAGTGAGAAGAGTGAAGTCCTACAAATTGTCACCTAACCTCTTACACCTGTCAAGGCGCACACAGACATATATAGTGCATATACACACATAAATAAATGCAATTTTAAAAAGTTGTAAAGCCTAATAATTGGTTTCATATGTAAATATCTATCTTCCCTATTCTTCACGGTTTATAGTCTAGGAGTGACAACCTATAAAAACTAACAGAAGTAAGCACTTTCAGCTCAAAACACTTTGGCTGGTGGGTGAAAGAAGCCCTCCACATCTGTGTCAGCATCTCCTTCCAATTCAGTTTCTTCTACACCTTGAACTCACCACTTCCACTGCAGGCGGCCTGTGTCGGGCAGCGTTATGTACTGCTTAAACATAAATCTAATTCATTTTTGTGCTTAATCTAATTCATTTTTATCCTCATCCAGTAAATCTCACTAGGACCATTCAAATTTTAAAAAAATCAAAGCCCAAAGAAGAGAAAAGGCTAAGGAGGTAGGGTGGGCATTTAAAACCCCATCTTAAGGGGTAGGAGAAATGGCTCATTAAGACCAATGTTGTCGCTTATCTGGTTCTGTCCTCTGAACTCAGATACCTGCAAAACATGTATACGCACACAATAAAAGTAAATCTTTTTTTAAAAAAATGTAAGTACCTATACATTCATTTAGTTATTCTTTATCATCCTCTGCATCTTTCTCATTTACTTTAGGGTTAATAGTAGAGGTGGGTACTATTTTCTGTCTGGCAGTGTTGTATTAGATTAGTATTACCTTTTAGACAAATGGAACAGAGGAAGAAACCGAAATGCTGAAAAGCAACATTAAAGTTATTAAGTTTAGCAGGACACAGTTGCTCACACCTTTAATCCCCCAAGGGTAGGGGATGAGTCCACAGGAGTTCCAGGACAGCCAGGGCTGTATAGTGAGACCCTGTCTCGAGACAGTAACACTGTACACTGATCAACAAAGAGACCAGCTAAAACACTGTCATCATTTCTAAAGATCTAGTAAAAACAGCCCCTGCAATGCAATTATAGCCTCAAAATATAGAGTAATGACACGTTTTATGGCAATAAAATATTGCAGTTATAACAGAAGAAGTAAACTCAAAGGCTCCATGTCTACATAACAAGATTGCTATAGGGAAGAGTTGAGGAATGAAAGAAAGGTGGGAAAATACAGCGCACAGCTGGATGTTCTGAAAAGGGATGGTAGCCAGTGGTGGGTGGCAGCTTTATCTTAGTATGTCCCAAGTTTCTCTCTAGTGTTCACTTGGACTCTGTCTGCAAACATAAAAAGATGCCTTCCTCATTTCAACAATTATATGGTAGAACTCTGTGGCTATCGCAACAATTTACACACCTTCTATTGATGAACCTCATATGGTTTCTAACCTTTCATTGCAAAATCCACAAACTGAGGGAAAAACAGCTGGAGAAGAGCAATGGGAAGGGGATTGTTTCTTTCATTGCTTAATAAAATTTAAATTGAAAAGATACTTCTCATTGCACAAAAAAGTGATTTTTTTTTTTTCGTTTCAAGAGACAAGCAAGACTGGCATTGGCCAACGTAGACATGAATACGTGGTCACATTCAGCTACTGCACCTTTGCAGTATGGCTACTTTAAGTTGAAATGTGCCACAAGAACCACTGGATTTCAGGCCTATCCAAAAAAATAATGAAAATCTCTGAGAAAATGTGGTACATTTACACAATGGAGTACTACTACTCAGTGGAAAAAAAGCAATGGAATCTTGAAATTTGCAGGCGATGGATGGAACTAGAAGAAACCATCCTGAGTGAGGTAACCCAGTCACAAAAAGACAAACATGGTGTGTGCTCACTCATATATGAATTTTAGACATAGAGCAAAGGGTTACCAGCCTACAATCCTCTTCACCAAAGGAACTAGTAAACAAGAAGGACTCTAAGAGAAAAATGCATGGTCCCTGGAGGATGGGAAGTGCCAGGATCTCCTGAGCTAATTGGGACCATGAGGGTAGGGGAGAGGGAGCTGGCAGAATGAGAGGAGGAGAAGAGGAGGGGAGAGAAGGAAATGGAGGAGCAGAAATGTTGAGTTGGGGGAAGAATAGAGGAAAGCAGGATGAGAGATACCATAATAGAGGGAGCCATTATAGGTCTGAGGAGAGATCTGGCACTAGGGAGATTTCCAGAGACCTACAAGGATGACACAAACTGACAATCTAGGCAATGGTGGAGAGGCTACCCTAAATGCCATTCCCCTATAATGAGACTTATGACCTCCTTATATGACTACTTTATATGCCATCCTAGAGCCTTCATCCAGTGGCTGATGGAAGCAGAAGCAGACACCCACAGATATACATTGAACTGATCTCTGGAACTCAGTTGCAGAGAGGGAGGAATGAAGATCAAAGGGGTTGGTACCAGCTGGTGAATCCCACAGAAACAGCGGGCCTGAACAAGGGGAGCACATGGACCCCAGACTGCTGTCTGGGAGACCAGCATGGGACTGATCCAGACCCCTAAAGTGTCAATAAGGAGGCCTCGGCAATCTATGGGGCCCCTGGTAGTGGATCAGTATTTTTCCCTGGTGTAAGAAGGGACTTTGAGAGCCCATCCCACATGAAGGGATGAACTCTAGGCCTGGCAACATGGGGGAGGGCCTAGGCCCGGCCCAGGATGATGTGGTGGACTTTGGGGAGCCTCCATGGAGGGTCCTCCCCTCCCTGGGGAAGGGAGGGGAGGGAGGGGAGGAGAGGGAGGGAGAAGGTATTGACATGTGAAGCAAGCTTGTTCCCAATTTGAACTAATAAAAAAATTTAAAAAATATCCAATATGGGCTAAGGATGTCGTTCATCTGGTAGAGTGTTATCTGGCATGTACAAAGTCCTGGCTAGCGTCAGTCCCCAGCACCACATTAAGCCAGGCAAATGGCACACCTATACTAATGCCCCAGAGGAAGATGATGGCAGAATAAGCAAGGTCAAAGTTGTCTTCAGGTACATAGAAAATTTAAAACCAAAATGTCTCAAAGAATTAAAATAGTAAACTACATTGGATGACAGTAAACAAAAACATTTTCACATTTGGGGAAATTGAAAATTTAAAATTCCATGTCATGTATTGCATCATATTTCTTTTGAGTTGTTCTTGGTTTTATTAATAAAGAAACTGGGAGGGAAGGAGAGAGGAAAAGAAGGAGAGGGAGAGTTGGGCGTTGGTGGCGCACGCCTGTAATCCCAGCACTTGGGAGGGAGAGGCAGGTGGATCTCTGTGAGTTCAAGACCAGCCTGGTCTATAAGAGCTAGTTCCAGGACAGCCTCCAAAGCCAGACAAACCCTGCCTTGAAAAACCAAAAGAGAGAGAGAGGGGGGGAGGGAGAGGGAAGGGGAGGACAAAGAGGTACTCTTGGTAACTGTATAACCAATCCACACACACAGCAATAAAATGTTGTTTACAGCTACATACATATGTACCTACATTTCTGATGTTTAAAAACCTACAGGCTCTGTGTACAGTGATGTCCTATCTAATTTTACAGCTATGAATTGAAGTATTTTACTTGTGCAATACAGTATGATCCACTCCATGTAATTTTTGGACAATCTTGAAAGTGTCAAGGTAAAAATTACAATGGATGAAGCTCAAACATACTTTTAAACATAATAGTAGCTCCTAAGAAATAACGCAACAAAATGAAATTTATATTAATAGGGAGCTTTAAACACAATAGCAATTTTAACTACCAATTTAAACAGAAGTATTCTGTGGCAAGAATTCATTTCCTGGGTAAAGCCAGTAGCTGTAGAAAGCTACTAGTTCAGGGAATTTAAACACTGTCTCTTGAAAACAAACTCCCATGTCAGAGAATAAAAAGGGAAATGATGACTTTGGCTTTAGTATGTCCTAAACCACACTTGTATGAATACTCAGAATATCATAGAGCCCTGGTCCCATTTTGTACAGTACTTTCAATCATGTATACTCTGGCATTATTTGTATTAGAGAGAATAAAGATGTTTTCATGCTGTAGTTGTCAACCTCAGGGAGGGTTTTTCTTTTTTCTTTTTAAAGCTGACAAAGTCCTGATTCGAGACAAAGAATCTTTGGGTTGTATTTGAGATACTAACCTAATAATCAGTCAATATAAGGTTATTTTTTTCAAATTTAAATGACTGCAAAACAAGGACCCATTATCAAAAAACTATAAACT